GGTTCTTTGCAAAGTTATGTTGAATGTACATTTCACCATATCATATCAGTTTGGTAGTTTGGCTGAATGAATGATGCAAGCTGATGACGACATAATCTTATCGAAACGTTGTACATTTATATCAAAGTTCTTTCACTGGTTATTCAAACCATCTCCAAGATTTTTTCTAAAAATTGGGTTCCTCGTCATCAACTTTGAATGTTTGATAAGCTTGTTAACTTTGAGTGATTCAACTTCCTATCACACGTATTGATGACATACCTTGAAACTGAACAACAATTGGCTGGCTTTTTGTCCGATCTACTAATGTTTGGATAAGAAGTGCAATCACCAAGGTATCTTATTATGTATAGCACTCCATCCAGTATGAATTTACAACAGTGTGCAAAAGAATATGTGGAGTGGTTGCATTCTGTAATAGTTGATACACATAATTTTGTACATCAGCAGTTGAGTAGAGCAGCTGTACATCAAATAGTACTTACTATAAAACAGTAGTAATGGAATGAACGTTCAAGCTTGGAGATTGGATAAGACTTTGATATGTGCCAGCAGCGTGTAAACAACCCAATTCTGGTTGGGTTGATCCTTATCTTGGCCTAGAAATAATTCAATCTATCAAACTATGAGCTGCAGTGGTCATGTGGTATACAAAATAATACTAAACACCTTAATAAATTAAATCCACATTACTGTCAAATTCCAATACATTGTTGGGCAAAGAATCAGGCTGAGTAGATCTTTGAATCAAAGGTCAATTGTAGCTCTGGTAGATGAAAAGGAAGATGTAATATACATTTAATTGTGTGTTAATGACTAATCAGACAAGGATAAGGAATATTGGTGTGGCCAGGATTAAAATTTACCAATTATCAGGGTGACCCTGACGCCACAGGCTACAGCCAAAAGGGAGTAGTAACTCTTATGATCTGCATAATAAAGTGGGTTTGATGTAGTATTCTAGTGATGCAGACCAGCTACTTTTATGTGCCTTGCATCTGCTGTAATTCGTTCATCAATTGACCAAAATTTGCCAGACTATGCGATATGGATCCAGCCAGCCAGATCCCAGCTGCTTCTGTATTGCATGAACTACTGCCAGACCCAATTAACATACTGGTACATTTATTCTTTTACCATATTTCCTAGCACTTCTTCTAACATTTGGTGGTATTTACCAGCCATATCCAGAGCTATTTTCTTTTGAAGTTTACCCTGATTTGGCTGATTCTTACAGTAATGAACATTTCGATTAGAATGGAGCCAAAAAAACCACCATCAAATGTTAGTGCAAATTCAGATAATCTTAGTACCCTATAGTCTTTGCATTATATAAAGTCTGGAGAATTTCTTACCTTAAAGCTTGGGAGAACCACTAACTGCATCACTGTCAGAGAATTATGACTCAGTGGTTTATATTGATGGTACATCATAACTTCCTGCACTCATAGCTGACCATACAAGTGCCACTGATTGTATAGATCCATGCTTTATTCTTTTATTTGTGCTGGCCAAGCTTTACCTTGCTACACAGCAAGAAGCACTTATATTAGACTTGAGTACTTCACTTGCTCTTTCTGGAGTTCCCAAACTGTTAATCTTGGCATCCATCTACTTGTGGAATATTCTACTGCAATGGCAATGTGACAGGTGGTGGTAAGTCGATGTGTTCGACTGTACACTCGTTACAAACAGATTTATTTTATGCTAGCATATTTTATGTGCAGTCGTGGGTAAGGCTCACAAGCCACGAACTCGAGGAAGTTTATGTAAATATTAAAGAATTCACTCAGAGACTAAGTTACAAAGAAGTAAATATTTAATGTATCATAGAAACAAAACATATTATTAACTCGGTATCTTTAACAGTTGTACACTCAAGTTTCACTTTCAATGTTTGGATATTTTTTCTAGCAATTATTCTACAATGAACATTACCCCTTCAATCATATCTAATAGTTTATAAACTAACTAAAGTATGACTAAACCTTTGAACATAATGTTCGAAATAAATGTTATTAGTCTAAAATAGAGAAATCAATATAACTTATACAAAAAAATTGAGTGGTGATAGTTTTCCATCTCTGTCAGCACGGACATCTTTGGTGAAGCTTTTCCTTCACTTGAAAAAGTTTGAATAATAATCCTGAACTGGTCTGACGCTGGTTTCTGATCGCTGGTCTCTTCTGACAGTACTCTTCATGTTGACTTATGAAGCAAAAAAATAACTACAACATGTGATTCTAGCTTTTGCTTTACTATTTTGTACACGTTACGGAAGCTCTTGTTGTTGATGTTTTTCAGTTTTCTTTGAACTTGGAGCGTCATTCTCTGTATCTCTGACTTGCCTAGAATTCCAAGCTGCTCGATCCCCGACCTGCACATATTTTTTTAGTTTTCAGATTTGCTCTGTAGAGCTCGAATTTCCCGTTATGATTTCGTTATTTCTTCAACTCTGAACTCCTTCTGGATATGGCATGCGATATTTCATCTACTGCACCTTCTTAGACTTTGCTGATATCCTGTCAACTTGCTTATTTAACAGAATCTGCTCCACACTGACAAAAACGACCACTGACCCTTCTTATCTAATAGTACAGGCTTGGAAGGTTACTTCTAATTAAACACTTGTGCTTGCTGTTTGAATTATTCATAACCTCATTTGGTCACTCTGCTTGCTTATTGGCATAAAAAGTTTTCATGACCTCATTGTTCATTAAATATCCTACGGCTTTAGCAAATTAGAATTTTGTTAACTGGGTTTTTCTTGAGAAACTTATAATACCAAAACATTCTTCTATTTGTGCTGGCCAAATGGTACCTTGTTGTATAGCAAGGAGCACCCATACTATATTAGAGTTCTTCAGTTGCTTTTTCTGGAGTTCCCAAAGTGCTAATTTTGGCATCCATCCACTAGTGAAATATTCTACTGCATGGCTTTATGTTGCTATGGCAGAAATGGTTTAAAACTCCCACATGATGTCCAGAACAAGTAAATTGAACAAATGGATAGGGTCTCACTGTGCAGCAAGATACTCATCCATGTTTCCTTGTTACAAGCCCAGATGATGCACTATGAGAAAGTCATGTTCTTGCAATATTATTATACTCCGCACGGCCGTTCCCTCTGGATTTTTAAACTTCGTTAGTCATTTAAATGAAACATGACCCACCTGAATGGTGATCTTCCTAAAATACAAGTACCCCTTTACAAAGAATACATCTGAGTGTAGTTTTTTCTTCATCAAACAATATCCACATCCAAGAGCCATGAGTGTACGAAACAGTGTATGATTACATGTTCTATTCCTTCTGCAACTACAGTTTCATTATCACTGGTGTAGTGTCCAATAGGGATTCGCTGACTTGTCGTAGATATGCCAATATTGGTGTTTCTTTATTAGCTTTAGGGAATGGAATGCTTGTTCTTATTCATCTATTCTTCCTAATTGTATCTCAACTTTGGTGACAGCAGATAGTGTTCCTGCTATTGGGAAAATTGGTCACAAACCATCAGTAATGCGACACAAAAACAAACAAACAAAAAACTTTGGATATATCACTTGGTCACATACTGAAGCCAATCTCTCAAAGCTGCTTTCTTAGCAAGGGCTGTAGAGACCCCACCTCTACCTACAACGTGACCACAAAGTTTCCCTTCTTGATCACACATTTTTCTTGTTTCATTTTCAAGCCCTCTTTCTTTATCTGCAGCAATATAATCCTCAGATTTTCAGCCACAGATTCAAACGTGTGAACAAACACGATAATATCGTCGACATAGGCTATGCATCTCTCTCGTTGTAGCCCACTCAGTGTAAGCTCAATTAACCTCTCGAAAGGTTAGGCAAAATATAAAGATAAACGGCATGATGAAGAACTCATACGAGTTATCGCTTGTTCTAAAAGCAGTTTCATCTCTGCTCTCACCATCCAGCTAAACTTGCCAGTATCCAGATGCCTGACCTAAAAAACTTATGCAATAAAAAAACTTCAAAATGTATCCAGATATTCACTTGATCATGGCGATTTAAAGGAAAGGAGTCAATGTGAATTACCGCATTTACCCATCTAAAATTAACACAGAAACTTGGCATATCTTCCTTTCTCCTGACAATCACTACTGAACATGATCAAATACTGTCCGAAAGTTGTATGACCCCGTCTTTCAACATCCACTCTGTTTCAACACTGGCTACATCTATAGTGATCCATTGGTAAATTAATCAAATAAATCACTGAATTGCTTTTGCTGCACTGTGTCTAGATTTTTTGTACAATCCTCAACCAGCGATCTCAGATGTGTTGGTGGTAGCAGGCTTACTTTCAGCCATGGCACATTACCACTAGCCTCAGTTACTTCCATTTCGTTTACCACAACATATGTGTACGTCCTAAAAGGTAAGCATTCAAACAACCCACCGCTAACTCGTGGGCTACTCTAATCGAAGGATGGGATTTAACTATAACTCTTATATCGCACCCTTCTGGAAAGTGCAGAATGCGAATTTTTTCTTGGTGATAACGAGACGCGAACAAGAACCTTGTATGCACGGCCCACTTAAATATATAGTTCTTACTTTTAAAGATTAAAATGAATTGTTTCATCAATAGGGTACCTTTTTTTAATCCTATTTTAAGACGTAAACCCAATAATGTCACTAGATTATTTGATTGGATGTTTATGTAATTTGAATATATTTGTATTTCGAATATTTGAGAGCGACTTTGGGAGATCATATATTAATATACTATATTTATGAATTTTGTATTCCGGAACATGTTTGTATTAATAATTTTGACGCCCTGTAGCTGATAGACGACCGAGGTGACAGTTTTTCACACGTAATAAACCTTGGTGGTTTTATTTTTATTTTAAAAATATATCGGAAGATATTATATATATATTTTAAAGAGTTGACATATTTTCCCATTTTGTTTTCCATACCTAGCATATTTTTGAACAAGAAAACGGGAACTTTCAGCTAAGTTCAGTTTGATTTGAAATTGTTAATTGTATTGTAATTCCAATACTACTAGTAACAGTTAAGTTTTGAAATAAACAATTTCTTTCAATAAAGTTATTATTCTGGAACTTAGTGGAAGAGATATAAACCGGTAGAACGATTTACCTGATGAGTTGGTGTGTGTCTTGTGCATTAGTATTAGTTTCAGGTTTTTAAAATATTGTTGGAAAAACTAAATGTTTTCGTTGTTTAGTTTTGTGAGGAATGAAATATTAAAATTTAAAAGGCCAATGGTTTGGTGGCCCTTTGGTCTTTCTAAGTTTCTTACGTTCTTTACTCTTACTCTGTCTGTAGTCTACTGTTTAGAGCAGTGAAATTTCAAATTTAGTAACTCCGTTACTCTGCAAGTGTTTATTATTTTTCTTATGGATTTAGGCTTGATTAAAACAAAAGATGCTGTATTTATGTATGTTTTTTAAAAATTGATTTATAAAAAAAATTAATTAAACTAAAATCAAGTATGTAATATTTAATTTTCATTAATTATATAGTTTTAACAGAAGCGTTTTTATTTAAATTTTCTGATTAAATTGTGAAGATTTAACAGTAGTGTGAGATCCATGCCATATGGTTGCTTTTAACTAAAACCAAAACTTAAAAGTAAAGAGATTTGGTTTGACCATGAAATTACGGAATATATTAATTTTTGAAAAAAGTTGTTTATATTTTGCCGTAGATTAGGCACAAAAGAGAAAAATTTAACTCACTCATTTAGTTACTGTATTAGAGATCTAAATGTTCACATATTTATATTACATATCCGTAATTTGTTTGTAATATGGTTTAGGTCTGATTTTACTCAGAAAAAGACAAAAAAATAAAAAAACAGATTTGACAAGAGTGTATCAGCTAGTACTGAACCATTGCTTGATTTAATTGTACAGAAAGTATGATTTTGTTTGGACTTTTAATAAGCTTTTTATGTTTATAATTTTTTTTACACTCCTTGATGATAAAAACTAAGTATCCCAAAACCAATACTGTAGTGTATCATAATTTGTATAGAATGAGAAAGCATTGTCAAAGCAGATAGTTAAGTATAAGTGACAGGTAGTTAAAAGCTAGCTTTTCAACACTTAAAGCAAAATGCATAATAGAACAAAGTGACATATAGATTCTTAAAAAATTCTGTGTGTAGTTACAATATAAATATTTTGAACAAAACACATAAAAAATATGGTGACAGAAGTCACATCCATATCCATGATAAATGACCTAAGTACAAAATCAAAAATTGGATGTTGTTCATCACATGCGTAACTTTATAACAAACATTAAGAAAATTTAAAATTATAACATATACTGCAAAGGAGACTTAAATATAAATAAATTTATCAGGTAAGTTTGCCTTCTCATGAGGTTGAAGAATTTTTTGAAAAATGTAGAGGGTTTTTTGCAATAATGTAAGTAAAAATACCATTTTCACTTGATAAAGCTTATTTTTTTCTTAAAATGAATATTCATTACTTTTCCCCAAAAAAAGGGGGCCATGGTTTAATATCTGAAAATCTGAATGTGACCTAGTGTTATGATTTGAAAATCTGGTTGCCTTAAACAGATACTATCTAATCAAATGACACAAAGAAATGTTATTAAAACAGATGGATGTTACAATGAGATTTAAGTAATTTTACAAAATATGCCCCCCTCCATTTTGTCCACAATTATATTCTTTAAAACTGAAATTAATGTCAAGAGATTTTCAAAAGCTGAAAATTGAAGTCTCTACTAAATCCTCAGTAAAGTTTACAATTTCAATACACACATCTCATCAGGGTCATAATCTTAAATATCAGCAACATTCCTCAAAAAAGGATCTTGTAGGATTCTTGGTATGCTGAATAGGAGAAAACATTGAATGCAAATGGCAAGTGCTATTCACAGCCGATGTTCGATTATCAAGTCATAATGCATTTAAGATAACACGAGGATGAACATGAATGTCAGTTACTCAGAACTTTACAACTAGCCAAAAAATACCTGTAGCATGTTTTAGTGGATGCAAAATCACTTGTTCTGTGATGCATGCAATTGTTGCATCATTTCATCTGCTGCAGCCTATCTTATGATAAAGCCAACTTTAGAGGAAGCAGCTTAAGCTGTGCTGAGTAATTACAAACTATGTGATAATTTCCTTATTCTGTTAAAACAGTTTGTATCTGTTGTTTCATGGGTGTCAAAGGCTCAGAATAGAAGTAGAAAAAAGGTAGTGATTAGTGACAAAAGTGAAAACTTGGAAATTTATGCATTTTGATACTTGGACAACACTCCAAAAACCAGGACTGCCCCAGTCAACCTGGGACAACTGGTAACCATGCGTTTGTTAATGACCTTAAATAATCTCAAATTCAACTATGTGTACTTTATTTATTTTTGCAGCTTTAACTTCAAATCACAATATTAGATTATAAATGTATAGATTTTCATATTATAGTAATATTTTATCTTTATGTTCCATTTGGATATGGTCTGTATTTGTTTGACTACTCTTGATTTTGTGTTTCATATTTACCGTTTCTAAGATTCATAATCAGGGCAGTTTTAATATTGCCAGTGATGTTTTAGTAGAACAACTAAATAGTTATGCAAGAATATAATAAATAATTTGACATAAATTGTGTATAAATGTTTAAATGCTTTGTACTGCAACAATAATTATATTTAAGTATTTAAAAGCCCCACCTTTTGTAAGACTAAGTGTTATACAGTGTTAGAGCAGGGTGATTAACATAATTAATTGATGTAATTGATTACCTATGACGTCAACTACATTGATTAATGTCATGTAAAATAATTGATTAATCAGAATTATGAGTAAGTCCATTTCTGTCATGAAAATAATCAACTAATAGAAATTAATGTTTCTGATTATTATTTTCAGTATTCCAACTAGCCAAATCTCATGAGAATAATCAACTGATTAGCAAATTCTACTAATTGCCAGCTCTGTATATTGTCATATCAGATTTATACTATAGTCTATACCTTTTTAATAACATAAGGAAAAGTGTAATTTTTTAATGTGATTTGTTATGGATTGAATGTTTCTGAGTTACATTAGTTTTCTGCCAGTAGACGTTGTTGTCCCAGTGTATATTTTATAAGTACTATAGTTTAGACTAGTAGCAGCAATAAATACGAAGGTAAAAAAAAAAAAAGACAATATATAAAGGGCAATCATGTAAAAAGACAAATAAAATTACACAAACAGGTAAAATAGTAAGAAAAAATAAGTCCTATATTTTAAGAATGGTATAAAATAACAAATTCTAAAATAAGCATTTTATTTTTTTATTATTACTGGGAAATCTATATGGTTTAATAGCAAGTGTTAAACAATAATGGGAAACCATTGGTTAGAAAACTGTATTAATAACACCTTAATTATTAACTTTTTACCTGTTTGTGTAATTTTCCTAGACTTTTTTTTCCGATTGACGTTTTTTCCATTGTGTATTTTTCTTTGTATTCTTTTTACCCTTGTCTTTATTACCTAGATTTAGTTTAGACATTTCCCTGGATAAAGCTCTAAATCTATTCATAACTTTCTTACATTTTAGTCTTTTTCCAGTAGAAGTTATTAGAAAATACTAAATTCAAAAATTTGTTTGTAAATGTTTTCAGAGGTTTGTGTTTTTAAATTTTCGTAAAGTGTTGATTAGCTTAGTTTATAAAATATTTTTGAAGAATATTTCAAGATGCAATAGATTGAAAAGATCTACTGAAGTATCTTTATCATGGACTTTTAAAGTACTAGATGAGTTTAAACGAACCCTAATTTTGAACCAGTTTACAAAGCCACAGGAGTAGTTCTGATAGCATCCAGTTACTTAAGTTGGGCGTGGTTTGAAGCTCAGGTTCTATGGTTCAGAACTGAATTTGAATTTGCATACAAGTGACACAAAGCAATCATTGAAGCAGTTATAGATATGTCATTATTTATTAGGACTATTAGGTTTGAAAACATTGGACTAATAACTATAATTTCATATATCAATGGGTATTAAGCCTTCATACCTGTGTTTCATGTATTTGTGGTTTACCTTATTTAGTTTGGTTTGTAGCTTTTGTTGACAAAGATGAAAATAACCAACCATAATTTTCCAAGTATAATACACAATTTAAATATGAACAAAAAGTCAAATTTTCCTTATCACTACAAATAATACACACCTAGACTTTTGCAATATTGCAGTCAAAGTAACCTTTTGATGATAAGAATGCTAGAGTGTCCACATTCACTATAGTGTTTGCTATCTTTTCAATCACAGCCCCCAAATAAACATGGTCAAAAACCCATTTACAGCTGGTGTTCATTAGTCATGGCCCTCTGCAACAGCTTTGCTATAGTGGGGTATGTGTAATTTGTTCTCAAACATTTCCTCCCTGTGTATATGTAAAGATGATGGTTTTGATTTTATAAAACCGATTTAAAAACGCACCGTGAAATCAAAGCCTATCACAACAAAGCTGCATTGGTTGATAACAAAACTGAAGACGATGTCTGTGGTGATGACTAGATGGTATAGAAGTTGGGCTAGTCATATGAGGACAGTGATTCGAACTCAGAATTTGATGGACTCGCCAAAAATGATTTGTAGTTTTGAATATCGGATGTAATGTATCAATAACTAATTTTGTATTTCTAAATGTGCGTGTAAATAAATCTTCAAAATCTTGATCATTTTATTTCAAAAATCCTGTTTAAAGATATTGAAAATAAAGTAAAACAGAAGACAATTTTCATCTATGCCTTAGAAACAGAGAGAGTAAGTATGCATTACCATTCACAACGCATGTTGCAAAAGATGGTCTGAACTGGCTGTGAAAAAAACATTTCGATTTGTTATCATATATTATATGCATCCTAACTTCTTCACAAAGATTTAGTGAAAAGTGTATTATATTTGGAAAATTATAGCAAGAGAAGAAAAAAATAATTGTAAAATTTCTTTGAAATCTAATCTGGAATTGTAAAATAGTTAATTTTGAATTGTAGGTGCAAAATTTTTAACTTTTCTAACAAAAAACATTATTTTATATTCTTTCAGAATATAGTATAACATGGCAGATCGCTGGATTGGTTGTGAAGTGGTGATTGACTGTGGTGATGTTTTAGGAGTCTTCCAGGGTCGGATATCTGAAGTTGATACTGAAGATCAAACTATTACACTTGTGGATTTTTATAGAAATGGAGTTCATTCTCAGTATCCACATTTAGTTGTCAGGTAGGCTTAGAATATGTGTATTGTGTTCCTTATGATGCCGTTTTTTATTTTTACATTATGACTAATGATGCTCTTTGGTGAATAGTGCTGTCTACATGACTTAACACAGTATGTCTGTATTCCATTGCAAGAAGTAATCTTCTTACTGTTTCTTCCAGTTGGAGTATAACATATTCTTGAATTCCTGGATTACTTCTACTTGTATTCATCATTTAACCAAGTTTTGATATATTTATAAATGTTACAAAAATTGAAAAACTATCAACACTTATCTGACTTCAGATGGTGGAACTTATGAGTGAAAAACATTTGCTGCTATCCAAAATGAGGCAGATTTAGAACTATTGAGAAGGATGTAAAGTATTACATAACCTAGATGTACTTCTGCAGGGTCCCCAAAAGTGTTCTGTTTTTCAAGAATAAATAATACCAGAATTAAGAGGAACAAATATTTTGATTTCTTGCATTTGAAGTTCGTATGCTATGCTATGTTGTAGCCTACAGAATGGATAATTCTTCTCGTAACTCATGGCATGCACACATTTTACTGATGTCACAAATGTACAAATTACAATGTTAAGCGTCCCTTATGTGATATCATTTTAGTGTCTACTGACTGATTGACAGACAACACACTACTGTATAGTGGTGCAAGTGGTTAAAACAAGTGACCCCTACAGGTGATCTTCGGCCCCCCCCCCTTTCATTGAAATGAGATATATTTTTTTTTTATTGTTCTGAGATAGTTGGAACCTCGGATGAACAGAATTCTAATAAAGTTATTTTTTGATGCAGTACTGCGTCTCTTACAGTTTTACTTTTTTCATACATATATAAACTATAGATTGTTGTGAGTTATAAGTTTTACACCCCTATTCAAAAAAATCAAATCTATCATTGTCTCCAGTGTTGTAAACTTGCTCCCCCTATGGGCTGTCGTTCTGTGTGGACATACCACTTGTACTACCTTTGGTACAGTCCTATGAATTGAGACTTCCCTAATAAAACAAAAATTATTTTTATAAAATTTAGTTTATGAACTATAATTGTGGTTAAAAAAATTTAGTAATATGACTTTTAAAATGGACTGTACACAAAGAATATATTGTAAATTTAATGTTCATCGATATATGTCACTAATATTTTTTTGTTTCTTCTGTCCAGTTAATAGTAAAGATATAAGTAGCACTATATCTAGACATTGACTGAGTTGTTTGACTGTTAATAGGTTGCTGGTAGAGCTGGGCATTTAGTGGAATTTGATAATCAATTAATTGTCAGACTCATTAATAGATTACATTTGAATAACCAATTATTCTCACAGAACTTAGATAGCTGGAACTATTGAAAATGCTAATTTTGATCATTTTGTTATTTTCATGAGTCATGACACTAATCGATTAATTGGAATAACCTTGAATTAATCTCAGATAATAATGGCAGTCGTTCAATTACTTGGATAGTTGGAGTAATTGAATTCAGTAATAATTAGAGGCACTAATTACAATTAATTAATTATGTTCATGGCATTATTCATAATTTTGGTTAATTGACTATTTTACATGACACTAACTAATGCAGTTAATGGATATAGGTCATTGATTAATTGAGTTAATTGCCTAGCTTAAGTTGCTGGCTAGTTCAAAAGTTTCAGAGCTGTAGCTGTGATAAAATTTAAACTTTTATTTTGTTGTGGTAAATTTTTCTCTTCTAAGAGAAATGCAGAAATCTTTAAAGTTCAGAGTACTCTAGATTCAAGTAACACTTCCAACAATGACACTAAGATTGTTCTTTCTTATGATAAAATAGAAACTTCTATAGCTGTAAGCCTATGAACTAAACATGTGGCTGGTTGTCTAATTTAATGTTGTATTAGTTAATAAAAATTATTAGTTACTTGGCTTATTCTTCTTTGGAAACATTATACACTGAAGGCAATAATAGAAAATGAAGTTCAGGTTATACATTTAAGTATATTTATCAAGTGCATAAAAATATATGAACACAGCATTTGTGAAGTACATAATTTTCCAAAGGCTGGTAGAACCTTTATGTGACATAATGAGGTTGGACTTCAAGCTCTAAATATAGAAATCTAGTCTTTAAAGAATGTTTGATAGTTTCATTAGAGAAGTATAAGCATTTTTATATGCTAGTGTTATGCTGTAAATTTTGATTAGTTCTGGGTTAATTTTGTACTCTTGTTCACAGAGTCAGCATATTAAGGATCAACTGCACATTCATGAATTCTAAGCTGCATTAAAGTTTTGTAGATAATTTTATTTCTGTTCTTCCAGTTCACAAGACATCTGTGATTTGAAAATTCTTCATACTGCTGAGGATTTGGAAAAATCATCTCATAATCAGGTGGATCATTGCCTCAACAAAACTTCCAACATCACAGAGACAGAAGAATCATTTTCATCTCCAGCCAAAGTGGAAGAACATAACAAAAGGAGAGGTATTGAATGGCTTACAATTTTATTTACACTGTTTTACCACAAATATTGGATCAGTATGCCTTGAAATTAGAAGTATTTCATTTTTGGCATTAGTCACAGTCTGAACTCCATTACTTACACTAACCACCAATCATTGGTACACATCTGGTAAAATAGACTCCAGTCCACTTTGTTATAGTTTAATTTTGAGGTCTCTGTTATCTGGTTATTCATGCTGGTGTTCCAAAACCTCCCAGAGTGGTTCAGTTGGATTGAAGTTGTCATGCAGTAAGGCATAATGTATTGTCATTCTAAAAGAGTTCTCTGTAGAACTCAGTCAATTTAACATTAATCTTTACCAAAACCCCAAATCCAAAATAACTATAGGACCCCACTTTCTTAATACTGAATTCCATTAACTCTTTCAGCATGGGCAGTTTATCAGTAAACATTACGATGCTTTCATAAGCAAAATATCTAATTTCTTATTAAGTCTTAAGGTTTGTAAAGCAATCTTTTTCTCGTGTCTTTTTTTTTCTTTTCGCATGATGCCTATCTATCGTGCAAAGTAATATTCATTTTAAGATTAAAAATACTTTTATACATCAGAAAATTTTGAAATTTCACATACAAAATCTTTATAATGTCAAGATAGTTATCAAATGTTTCTTAAGAAATAAAAACTTTATATTTTATCTGTTATTTTCAGTAATTAATCTCTGTACGGGTTCGGTAGATTTGACCGATCTTGCAACCACCATAAAAA